TTGAAAGGAGAGCATTGATTGTTTAGGTAAGGGGGAAAAGGGCAACCAATTACCACAAAAGTTCTTACTTCCTGCCGCCACCCTTCCTGTGTAGGATGCAATCAGAGATGTGTAAATGTTCTATGAATGAAGCATCATCCTACGTGTGGAAAAGCCGCTTTGAGCTCATGCCCAAACCGCAACATTTGTTTTGAGTATTTGGATCTGTGCCTGGTCTAAAGCCAGGCTATTCTAGGCCAAAAGAGTTAGGGAGGTTGAACAGCAGGAAAAAGCCAGCCTGGCAAACTGGGGGAAGAGAAGGCTGTTGTACACTGTTGTCTCTCTCCCCTCAGCTACTCCAGGCATGGCACATCCCACTGGACCATCTATCCCCACCATTCTTCTCAGAGTAATCCCTCCCTCCCTCCCTGTAACAGCATAACCCACCAGCCTGCCCATCCCCATAGTCTTCTTAGCTTCTTCCTTCCCTCTACAGGAGAGGGTTGGCCATGCTCCAGAATATATTCCCATTCACTTCAGGCAACCTGGCCTGCATCTCACCGATGCCGAGAGCAAAAAGCAGCATGTGCAGGGATGCCACTGATAAAACATTTCTGGCTGTCGTATCAACTGGAAAAGACCCAGAGGGAACCAGATCTAAAATCACACTTTCTTCTACTGAATGATCTACCACCTCCCTGGAGCAATGAGCAATGACATCTAGCAATTCGATCTTATTTTTATTGGTAGTCACCTTCAATTTATTATCTCTCATCTAGTCTAATACCAATTGCACATAGGCATTTAGAGAAGCTCCATCCTTATCTCAAGATATTATAAAGAAATCAATTGGGTATTATTAGCATATTGGTAGATACTCAGCAGTTTCATGTAGCTACTGAAAATCTGAGTAGTGCCACAAGAGACATCAAATAATAATATATAACAATGGCTGTTTTATCTATATGCCTCCTAATGGCACCATCTGAAATCTATCTGAGAGTCAGAAGTGCAGTAAGTGACTCCTATTTTCCAAATTCTGCGCTAACTAGAAGAATAAACTTAAGCTACTGAGGGGGAGAAAAATCTATTGGGTTAACCAAAGTAATCCAACCCTGTAGTATTCTCAGCATGTTAATATAAATCCAGCCAATTGCAATTGTTCAATTAACCAGGTTCAAACTATTATTTAGTATGATGTTTAAAAACAACTAAAATCTGGTAATTGTACTTTTGCCTAATAGGTTTTCTCTAACACTTACCTTTTCCCTGAAGTGTTTGTTTTCTGCTGCAGCAGCTGACAATATTGTTACTACAGCTTCATAGGTTTCCCTTTTATTTTCAGTCAGAAGGACCGCCAAAGATTTCAGCACTTCTTGTTCAGGTGAGAGACTAATGGAGGTTAAATAGGCCTTATTCTGCAAGAACTTTTCATCTCTTAAAGACTGTAGAGTTTGTGCCATTAAAGCTAAAACACAAAGACATTTAACAATTTGTCCCTTTTTAGAAAAAGTTAACAGATTTGACTAATAGATGACTTTGAAATGCATGCAAACATCCAACAGTATCTGTGAAGTGTAAAATACTTTTAAATATGTGAGAATGAGCTATCCATATTACTACCACTGCTGACCATAGCTACAGTGTTCTATCTACAGCCTCCATCACAAACTGTAGAACTCATGGCTGAAACACACGGCTTACCGTAATTTGTGTAATTGTTCATTCCTCTTACACCCTCTTTTTTGTATAGAACAAAATGATGAAGAACACTCTACCAAAAAAATCTGTCTTATGTAAAGAACAATTATGAAATGTTCTGGAATCCTCAACAACATTCAGATGCTTTTCTACCATTTTAGTTGTTCCTAACAGTATTGCTGCATTATGGAATTTGAACTTCTGAAGAGCCTGTTTCTTACCTTCTCTTGCAAGCTGAAGCAAATAGTTTGCCAGATCACTAACATTTTTATTAGCTAAATAGCTGTAATACTGAAAAACTGTTATGACTTCCAAGGACAGACTGGAGGAGAGGAGAGGTTCTGCACGGTCCAAGATATGAGAAATCAAATTTCCGAATACTGCATACAACCAGATAAAAGTATTAGTTAGCAAATGAATCCTCATTAATAAGAGCAATATAAAATTACTGCAGGCAAGTCACTTTTAGAAAGGGTAATGAGTTTTAGAAAAAATAGACCACTTCATACTTTCTAGAAATTTAGAACTATAATTTCCAGAAAGAATCAGTATGACAATGATTGGAGATCATGAAAACTNAGAATATGTAGCCTCTGTCTCCTATAGTGTCATAAAGGGCCATGGTTCCCCACCCTTGCTCCATGCCAATCTCCATTTTAAATCTCATCCCGTGTTCTCCATATATGATCTTACTTTATCATGGCCCACTTGAACCTGAACAGAACTTCTGTTCATTCTTTGCTGTTCAACCATGCCATGTTGAACAGCAACGAATGAACAGGAGTTCTGTTCAGGTTCAAGTGGACCAGGTTAAAATAAGATCATATATGAAGAACATGGGATGAGATTTAAAATGGAGATTGGCATGGAGCAGGGGTGGGGAGCCATGGCCCTTTTATGACTTGTAGATTTCAACTCCCAGAATTCCTGAGCCAGCATGGCTGGCTCAGGAATTCTGGGAGTTGAAATCTACAAGTCATAAAAGGGCCATGGTTCCCCACTTCTGGCATGGAGAGTAGCAATAAAATTTGGGCCTTCATGTCTTGTTGGAAATATCTGAAGAGAAGTAAGTTTTTTTTCTGGATAAAAGACCTTTCACATTCCGTGGCTTCTTTGGACAAGCACATTGGCTAGTTTTTCCCCCCAACAGCAAGAGTCTGCCATTTTTGCCTTATACAAGAGAACTACCAGTACAAAGGAAATTAACTTCCAAAAAACAAAGGCTGTGTACCCAACACAGAAAACAAGAGCAGATGGGTCTCAATATTATTTTTTGAAAAAGCATGTAACCCTATGGGATACCTGGATAAGCTGTGTGCAGTACTGCAAGTGCTTGACTATGGTGATATCAAGGCTTTCATTTCCGGTGGTCAATGGCAGAGGACTTCCAGCCACACTGGTTCCAACTCCTGTGTCTTCCGTCAATGCTTCACTGAGATGCCCTCTGCCTTCTGGGTGTTCTGACCTGTAACTGTTCAAGCTGGGAGGTAAGTGAGCAGTTTGATTTTCTTTTCATGTAAGCAATGGACAAGAGAAATTGTTGAAAGCACTCTCCTGTAACCAAACAGCTCTTCATAGGCCAGTAACCTTTTAATGAATACATTGTATCTCAAATTGGCAGTAGCATTAGGTAAAAAGTGCCAAAAAAGTGTCTGCGTTTAAAGGATATATCGTTTACCACACTAGCCTACTTGTTTCTTTGAAACAATCATTTTTTTTGTAAGGAAGTCTTCCTAAGAAGTCTTTGAAATCAACCTTTGCTATAACTTTTCTTTTCCTTTTTTTTTTCTTTTCACCTTGGTTTGTTAACAACATCCTTTGCCAAACTGCTCTGTGGATATAACTGAACTACAGATTTGTGGTTTTCAAAAGTTATACAATTAAGATGTAATATGTCAGTCCTTTCCTGACATGTGATTAATTGTCCAGCTAAAACAAAATTAAAAAGTAAGAGAGAGAGAGAATCTGTTGGAAAGGAAGTCATAATTGATTTACAAAGAACAAACACCAGTTTTCTGTTTCCTTTATTCATGGCATACAAAAATCTTTCATTCTCCAAACTATTTTAAGTCAAGGAAATGTTTAAACTTTAATGAAGTCTTGACCGCTCAGCAGCTTCCCATATCATCAATTATGGTATCCTTCTACATCAGCTTTGGGGGTTCACGTGAGGGCAAAGTTTTATTCCCATGTTCCTCTATCCCCTGGGGTAAATACCCATCACATTGATACGGGAGGTATAGCCTGCAATGCCTGCTTTTGTGACCTGCTACAAATGCCTCAACACTCTCTCCACTTCTATTTTTCATTTACACAAAACTGCTGGATGAAGCCATTTGATGGCATAGGGTAAGGTATCATAAGTATGCAAATCATAGTCGGTTACACATCTCCATCCCAGGCTGACCAAGCCTTGCAAAGCCTTGGAGATCTTGCCTTGGTATCTGGAGGCTATGGGCATCTGAATAGGGAGGAATAGAGTTTAGATCAAGCCTAGTAGGACTAGGTGGGTCCAGTGATATTCCATTTAGTTCTGGATGGTGTTGCACAACCCAAGACAGAA